GCGGATGCCTTAGTGAGACCTCATCTCTACTAAAAATACAAAAAATAAGCTGGGCATGGTGGCATGCGCCTGTAGTCCCAGCTACTGGGGAGGCTGAGGTGGGAGAATTGCTTGAACCTGGGAGGCGAAGGTTGCTATGAATTGACATCGCCCTACTGCATCCGGCCTTGGCAACAGAGGGAAACTCTTATCTCTAAATAAATAAATAAATATGCAACATCCAAAATCTAATCAATTTAATGGAAAATGAGAAACTGGCTCAAGATTTCAAACTCCATTACATACTGTTAAAACTGACTGGATTTGGAGCCAAATTTTAATGTATGGTTTTGGAAATCTCTGGCTTTCAAGCCAATATTATATTGACAGAACTGACATCAATTCCATTTAATCTCAAAGTTCCAAACAAAAACAGATTTGCAAGTATTTCCAAAAACTCAGTGACACCAGTTAACCTACAGGAAGACCCTAAATTAGCAGAATCCATGGTTCTCACCTCCAACTAGAATTTACTTGTCAAGAATTTCAAGACAACAGAACAATTATCAAGATAATAGATACTTATATTACTACCTCTCTTGTCCTCTGCCACAACTCATAAGCTTAACTAAATGCACAACAAAAATTTAAGACACTCACACCTGTAATCCCAGCACTATGGAAGGCTGAGGTAGGAGGATCGGGAGGCCAGGAGTTCTAAACCAGCCTGGTCAACATAGCTGATGCCCCATCTCTACAAAAGAAAAATTAAAAAAATTAGCCAGGTGTAGTGACACACGCCTATAGTCCCAGCTACTCAGAAAGCTGAGGCAGGAGGACTGCTTGAGCCCAGGAGTTCCAGGCTGCATAAGTCACAATCACGCCACTGTACTCCAGCCTGGGAGACAGAGTGAGATCCTATCTTTAAAAAAAAAACAAAACAAAACACTTTTAGACAAATTATAGTTAACTGCCCTGCCCCACAACACTCTTTTCTGAGGTACATATCAAAAAACATTGTTTTATGGTGAAATCCTGTGGTAAAACTATTATAACCAAATTTTCCTTAGTTAATAGTCTTACAGTATGTTACATTCTATAATATTGTGAGGGCCCAATACAGTGAAGGAATAGAACATTTCAATACGGAAACATGAAGTCACTAAACTCAGCTAAAAGGTTAGGCTTCAGATCTGTGATGATGGTGCTGTGTGTATTGGAGGAGGGGGTGCAGGAATATTCACACCACAGGTCTGTTACAAATTCATACCCACACATTCAGATGGCAAGTTACCAGGAAGCAACAGTGGTAGCATGTAAACACTGATCTGCTTTCCCAGTGTGCCTGGCTCATGCTCTCCTATTTTTAGTTAACATCTTGATTTCTCAAGGCCAAGAAAACCACAAGAACTAAAGTAAGCATCACGGCCTTGTTGATATCTGTTGTAAAATGGCTTTCTCTGTTCTTGCCCTACTATTAACCCCTCAATGTGTTACATCATACCCTTAGAGCAAAACAAAAACAAGAACAAGAACTGGTTCCAAAAGAATTCCCAAAACCACATGTAAGCAAGTATTAAAGATACAGCATTTTGCAAATAAGTAACACTTTATTTATAAACAAATACAAACACATGAGAGATGTGAAAATAATCAAGGCTCTCCCCTGTCATCTCTGCAAAAAAGTAAAACACTTAATCCGGGAATGAAATGGTACATTCCTCCTCTATAACCTAAATCCATTAAAAGAATTATGGTTAGCTCATACTGTATTTTTTCATCAAATACCACAATCATTCAAAAGAGCTTCATAAGTAATTTAGCAGAATATGGAATTGTATTCATATCTCATATAAATCAGTTTTATGTCCAAAGAGAATCAAAGCTACAGAAGCTTTAAAATTAAAAAGTGAATTCAATCTTAGTTCACTAATAATCCACTGGCATATGAAAAATGAAGGGGGTAGAATGTGAAGACAGGAAAGACTTCCATCCATAAATTAACGGGCATGCTAGGTACACCCAACAATTAACACCATATATTACATCAGGCCTGGAAGTAAAAATCTCGAAAGAATAGCTCGTTAACATGGCATTCTTATAAAACAATAATAATACTATTCATGGAAACGTCTGTGATTTAAGTGTCTCAAAAAAAGTGTTCAAATTTCAATTCTTAGAAAAGCCATGAAAATGTCTTAATCAGTAACAGCAAAATTTTGAAGAAGTACTGAGGATCTAATGATTAACAAAATTTTAAAAAATGTTTATAAGCAACTGTGCAACGTGAATAAGCTTTTGCAGAAGGGGGGTTATGCTACTGAAATCAAAACTGATTTACCTAAATATGTCTGCATATTCTGCCATCGCAGTCATGATGGCTTCTTCTGCCTTAGAGAAACTGATTTTCTATTTTTTTTTTTTTTTTTTTTTGGAGACATATCACTCTGTCGCCCAGGCTGGAATGCAATGGCGTGATCTCAGCTCACCATAACCTCTGCTTCCTGGGTTGAAGTGATTCTCCTGCTTCAGCATCCTGAGTAGCTGGGACTTCAGGTGTGTGCCACCACACCTGGCTAATTCTTTTTATATTATTAGTAGAGATGGGGTTTTGCCGTGTTGGCCAAGCTGTTCTTGAACTCCTGACCTCAAGTGATCTGCCTGCCTGGGCCTCCCAAAGTGCTGGGATTACAGGAGTAAGCCCAACCTAAAACTGATTTTCTTTACTCAGTGGGTGCGAGAACTGACAAAGGGAAACAAAAATTTTAAAAACTATTAGACATGCTAATATGTTAACTGTACAACTCCATCTAACAGTTTCTCTTTAATTTTGCAATAACATTAAGATGTAATCTGAATAGAGTTCTTATATTGCAATTCAGCAAATTTTTACATGGCCATGACTTTTATTCAGAACTAAGTATGAAGACAAGGTCTCTAGAGGATCTCACTCTAGAGATAAAACCAACAAACAGTAATATGTAAACTTCAACAGAAGATAATTTGTATTAAGTTAAAGGGAATTAATACTTTTAACAACCACAGCGCTTTTAGCTAAAAATTCGCATTTCCTTTGAAGAAACAATTACTATTCCACTGTGCATCTGAGGGTATGTCACATAGCCCATACACATAAACTAATTTAAAAGCTGTTGCCAATCAATAAATTATCATCTCATGCAGATTAAACAGTAGATATCTATTTAGATTTAATCAAGCATTTAGAAAACGCCTGATGCTAACAAAAATTAGCCAGGCCATGGCGGCGCCCGCCTGCAGTCCCAGCTACTCCCAGCTACCTGGGAAGCTGAGGTGGGAGGATCACTTAAGCCTGGGCAACACAGTGAATCTCTGTCTCAAAAAAAAGAAAGGAAGAAGAGAAAAGAAATGGCCAACAACTTTACAAACCTATAATCACATAAAAAGTTGTAAAACATATGAGACGTGGCTAAAGTCAAACAAAGACTTCATAGAGCCATGTTATGACTTAACAATCACAAAAGGAAGTGAATTATCTCTACTAAAGTGAATATAAATATTGCAATCATTCTTTTTCTGGCATAATTATGTTTTGGAACTATGTCTTCTATAAAAAGTATCTGTGTACCCACCTGTCCCAGTTGTGTTGAATGCCAACTACAAGCATCCTCTGTCCTTATTTTCCTAAATCACTCTACTAAAAATATTATGCACACAATATCTGCAAAATAGTATTTCAATATTGGTTTTGCAAATCAGTCAAAGGTATCTCTCCAATTTTCAAGAGCTAACTCCAAACCTGGGGTTGTCAGTGAGAGGAAGATTTGGTATTGGCCTAGACTGTGGCAACTTCACTGTGTCCCCTTAACCCAGAAACTTGCACTGACCAAATTTTTACTGTGTGGCAAATACATGTGTCAACTTAAAACTTTGGAAGTGGAACCAGTACATGTTGAGTATCTGTAAAATCCGAGCGTCCAAATTCTTGTTTCATGTTTAACTTTTAAAATCCGAGTGTCCAAATTCTTGTTTCAAGTTTAATTTTTAAAATCTGAGTATCCAAAGTCTTGTTTCAAGTTTTTAAAACTTAAAGGTAATGTAGTAAATCTTTTTTAGGATCTTAACACGTCTGGTATTTAAACTTATTTACGAAAGAAAAATACGATGAAAAAAAGGAAGACATCATTACTGTCAATAAATCCAAATGATATCATGTTCAGAATCACGTCTTTCACTACCTTCTTCAAACATCACTTCCTCTCCACTACTTCCCCCAGTCCTTTAGGCAAATCAGTGATTCACACCGCCCCTTCCACCCAAGATTCTTAAAAGGATCCACTGTGCACGAACGAGAAAGTCCCACAATCCAAGTACATTGCCCTAGTGATCTTTGATGTTTTAAAAGGCACCTGTAAAAATGCCAAAACCCAAAATTAGATCCCCAAGGGCTCCTTTTCTTTCTTGACCACACTTCTCTTTTTCAATGCCTCCCTCACCCCTAGAGGCCAGACAATTTCCCATCCAATAGCCCTCCTCCTTCTAATCAAACCTAAATCCTGCCCTCCATCACCACCAGCCCCACCCGGGTAAGAGGCTCCAGTCCCTGCCCCGATCGCCCTCCCTCGTCCTGGGAAGGGAACACCGGCCCAGGTCTTGCTGCTCTGACTCTTCACCCCCGCTGCCAAACCCAGAGCATCTCTTCCTCCGGGTCCACATTCCCGCAGGACCCCTTCGATCTTCTTCCCCCACTGCGCAGCTTTCAAAAGCCCCCAAGCTCTGGGCTCTTCAAGCCTCCCCCTCCCGCCCCCTCCCTCTCGTTCCTCGGCCTCCACTTACCCCTCAGCCTCAGGCCCTCGGTTCGACAACCTCCATTTCCTTCAGATTCCATTCCAGAGCTGACTCTCCCGGCTCCCTCAACCGTCTCCCTGGGGCCCCTCCGGGTCGCGGTCCCTCGGCAACCCCCGGCTCCATCCCAGACTCCCTACTCACCCTTGGCAGCAGGCGCCCCCCAAGCTCCCCTCTCAGCCTCAGCTCCCGCTCACCTCCGCGGTCCGAGTCGGGCTCCCCGGACCCACCTCCGAGTCGGCGTCCGAGCCGCCGTCGGAGTCCGGGGCCCTGCCCGCCTCGCCGGAGTGCAGCGCCTCAAGCGGCGGGGGCGGAGCCCGGGGCGGGGAGCCGGAGTGGAGGCGGGGGCGGTGGCGGCTGCGCGCAGGCATCGTCCCGGCCGCCGTCACCGCCGCGCCGGCAGATGCTCACAGCCGAACCGGAACTGCTTCGGGAGGCGAGGCCCTACCGGCCGGGAACGGGGTTCTACCGGCAGGGGGCGGGGCCCACACTGGAAAAGACGCGAGGCTCCAGATGGGCCCGACTGGAGAACCGAGAAGTTGCCGCGGGGGAGCCAGAGGGCGCATGCGTCATGCCGAGGGCCAAAGTGAGAGTAGGAAGCGGGGCTAGCGGAGCGGGGGCGGGGCCTGTGGGATCAGTAAAAGGGGTTAGGGCCTAGAAGGAGGTAATCCTAATTCCTCTGGAGAGAGCCAGCTCTTCTCCAATAGCCAGCCACCAGTGATAATTGTTATAATTTATTGCCCACTTCCTCTTTGACAGCGTCTATGCCAAATGCCATATAAACATCTCATTTAATCCTTGTGCTAAGGCCAGGCGTAGAAGCTCACGCCTGTAATCCCAGCACTTTGGGAGGCTGAGGCGGGTGGATCACCTGAAGTCAGAAGTTCGAGACCAGCCTGGCCAGGATGGTGAAACTTCATCTCTACTAAAAATACAAAAATTAGCCGGGCGTGGTGGCGCATACCTGTAGTCCCAGCTACTCGGGAGGCTGAGGCAGGAGAATCGCTTGAACCCGGGAGGTGGAGGTTGCAATGAGCCGAGATCACGCCGTTGCACTCCAGCCTGGGCGACAAGTAAACTCCATTTCAAAAAAAATAAAAATAAAAATCCTTGTGCTAACTCTGCAAGGGGGATCGTATAGCACAGAAAGGTAAAGAAACACGTTACCTGACATATTGCAAACTGATATTCCAACCCAAATCTCTCTAACATCTGATCCTATATTTTCCTCACTCCACCATGCTGCGCCACCCTGAGGGAAGGTCTCCTCCCAAGCCAGGTCTAGCATAGGCATAAACCAAGTCCAGACCCAACTGTAACCTGGACACGAACCCCTCCTTGGCCTTGCCTTCCCACACAGTGCCGGGCTGACTTCAGTGGTTCTGAATGGGATGGACATGAATGTAGACTGCTTCCATGGGATGCCCTGGTGTGGCCTTTCCCTTCAAACTGGTTTTAAGGCCAAGGACAGCTGGGAACCTCCCCACTGCAGCCCATACCCTTCCCAGCTCCATCAGGGCTGCTGAGAAGTCACATGACAGAGGGCGAGACATCTCATCTCTTTTGCTGATAGCCAGCTCTGGCAGAAGGACAGGTTGACCTTTCTCAGTTTCTATTTTGGGACCCAAAGCCCTTATAGACAGAGGAATCTCCCTCCCACCCTCAAAATGTTTCTGATGACAGTTGGCCCCTTTGGCTCTCAAAGTCTAGGGCAACACTCACCTCCCTTCTCCCCGTTTGACATACAAGGCCCTCTTCAGCCTTCTCTTCTGAGAAGTCAGCTATGTTCATTATAGGACCATTGTTCAAACCTTCCCCCACTGGCCCGGCATGATGGCTCACACCTGTAATCCCAGTACTTTGGGAGGCCGAGGCAGGCTGATCACTTGAGGTAGGAGTTCAAGAGCAGTCAGACCAACACGGCTGACAAACCCCGTCTCTACTAAAAACACAAAAATTAGTGTGGCATGGTGGTGCACGCCTGTAATTCCAGCTACTCAGGAGGCTAAAGCAGGAGAATCACTTGAACCTGGGAGGTGGTGGTGGCAGTGAGCCAAGATGTCACTGTACTCCAGCCTGGGTGACAGAGGGAGACCCTGTCTAAAAAAACAAACAAACAAAAAACAAACACTTTCCCCCTTCCCCCATGAATCTTGTGGGCACGCTTTAAAAATGAAGCTCTCCATGTCTCTTATCCGTATTTCTCTGACTCTACAACTCAGAAAACTGTCCCTGACCTCCATAATTCAGAGACTCGTCCAACAGACATCCAATCCAGCTCCTACCCGATTTGTGGCCCACCTAGACTGTACACTTCTTTCAGTTCTATCATTCATCCTTGGAACCAGCCACCTCCTCTGCACCCTGGATCTCTACTTTAACTCAGTCCTCATAACCTAATAGCCTGAGGCAGGGCTCTACATCTACTAATTCACAGACGTTTCTAAGCACCTACTGTGTCAGACCCAGCACGTCTTTTGTTTCATTTAATCCTCAAATTCTCTGAGGTAGGTGTGATTATCCTTACTTTACAGATGAAGAAACTGAGGTTCAGGGAGGTAGCTGACTTGCAGAGGTCTCTCTGATTCCATGTTCTCACGGAGTTTGGGGGTGGGGGGAGGCTTAGGGAGGAAAAGGTCTTGTCTGCTCCAGAGGCCCCTTTGACTTGCTGAGTCACTTGCTCCTGTCCCACCTGTCCCTGTCAATCTCTGGGAAGGAGAAATGACACTGGAGAGGCAGAGAGGAGTGACCGCAGAGGCAGAGGGGTGGGCGGGCTGGCCCATGGCTGAGACCTCGCTCCCAGAGCTGGTGGGAGAGGACAAAGCCACGCCTTGCCCCAGCATCCTGGAGCTGGAGGAGCTCCTGAGGGCGGGGAAGTCTTCTTGCAGCCGCGTGGATGAAGTTTGGCCCAACCTTTTCATAGGAGATGCGTGAGTGATAGCTGGCCAAGGGTCATGGGGGTGGGGACAAGGAGAGGCAGTTCTTGGTGGCTTTACCAGACACAGGAGGGTAGAAACAAGGAGAAATAGCTCTGCTCTGACCATCCCAGGCCAGGGACCTTCTCCAGGACCCCAGGGTGCCAAGGACAGTGCAGTGACCAGGTATGGCCACGAGGGGGAGCAGGGACTTCGCCTGCCTGAAAGCAGGGAGTCTCCCAGGAGTCCTGGGAAACATTTCCAGGACAACTGGCAAGTGTAGAGGTATAGGCCTGGGAAATAGTATTTGCAGCATGAGATGAGGTAGACAGAGAGCCCCCTATTTCTGGACCCAGCCTCTCCTCTGGATACAGATGGTGGAGAAGCCTGACTGAAGGTGAATCAGAGAAGGTGTTGCCTCTCAACATTTGTAGGCTAGAAGCAGGTATTAGGTGGTAGCCGGTAGAGGACGGATGTGCGTGGGAGGACATGAGGCAAGAAGGGAGGGGCAGCCAGGTTCTAGGGCTGAAGCAATCCCTTCCTTCCTGTCCTGGCCAAGGCAGGAGCAGAGGCCTTGAGGAAGCAGAGAGGGTCTAAAGATCCCCCAACACACGCATACCACCAGTTCTGCCACCAGAAAGTGTGGGGCTCTGGGTATGGGGCTGTGGAGTCAGACCCCACTTGGAGCTTGCTGGGGTTGGATTCTCTTTGGACCCTGATGGCTCGGTCCCTCTGCAGCAGGGGGCCAGGCAAAGCCTCCCTCCTGGTCCCATGGCTTGGCTGTCATCCAGTGCCCTTCCTGCCCTCCCCAGGGCCACAGCAAACAACCGCTTTGAGCTGTGGAAGCTGGGCATCACCCACGTGCTGAACGCCGCCCACGGGGGCCTCTACTGTCAGGGCGGCCCTGACTTCTACGGCAGCAGTGTGAGCTACCTGGGGGTGCCAGCCCACGACCTCCCTGATTTTGACATCAGTGCCTACTTCTCCTCCGCGGCTGACTTCATCCACCGTGCCCTCAACACGCCTGGGGGTAGGACTTGGGGTCCAAGCCCGTATCCCATCTTGCTCATTCCTGGGGAGGATGCCTCATTTCTTCTCAGTCATCAGTGCCCTGCCATCCCTGGTTTTTAAAAATCCTCTGCTTAGACCGGACACAGTGGCTCATGCTTGTAATCCTAGCACTTTGGGAGGCCAAGGTGGGTGGATCATCTGAGGTCAGGAGTTCAAGACCAGCCTGACCAACACGGTGAAACCTCATCTCTACTAAAAATACAAATATTAGCCGGGCATGGTGGCACACACCTATAATCTCAGCTACTCGGGAGGCTGAGGCAGGAGAATTGCTTGAACACGGGGCAGGGGGAGGTTGCAGTGAGCCGATATCATGCCACTTCACTCTAGCCTGGGCAAAAGGGTGAAATCCATCTGCTCCCCCCCCAAAAAAAAAAGTTATCTGCTTAGTGCTCCAGCATTTTATCAAACCCTATTCCTTCCCAGATGGGGAAACTGAGGCCTGGAATACAAGGTCATGCCATGAGTTAGGAGCAACCCTAAGGCTGAAAGCCATTTCTCCCAAACAGCAGAATAGCTCTTTCTCTGCAACACTCAGCTTTGGGAAAGCACCATTTGGTACCTAGATGTCTGCCCCAAAGTACTTCTTTTATTCCTTTTTTTTTTCTGAGATAGAGTCTCAGTGCTACCCAGGCTAGAGTGCAGTGGCACGATCTTGGCCCCTCCATCTCCTGGGTTCAACCTCTGCCTCCCGGCTTCAAGCAATTCTCGTGCCTCAGCCTCCCAAGTAGCTGGGACTACAGGCATCTGCCATCACACCCAGCTAATTTTTGTATTTTAGCAGAGACAGGGTTTCACCATGTTAGCGAGGCTGGTCTCGAACTCCTGACCTCAAGTGATCTGTCTGCCTCGGCCTCCCAAAGTGCTGGGATTACAGGCATGAGCCACCGCACCCGCCCCTCAAAGTACTTTTAACTAGAAAGAAATGTATCTTCAAATACTCAGGATACAGCATAGGAGTCCAGGGAGGCTGGTGTCCTGGCTTTGTGTCCATCCTAGAAGACAGCTGTGTCCCTCACTATGTGACCCTGGGCAAGCCAGTGTCCCTCTCTGGACTTCAGTTTCCTCATCTATGTGACAAGAATGACAAGATTACAGCTCACATGACTTTTTAGTATCCAAAGCACTTTGACATTCTTTTGTTCTTTGTCCATTCATTCACCAGCTATTTACTGAGTATCCACTATGTGCCTGGCACTGAGCTAAATAAATACTGGGAATCCAGACTTTAAGAAGCAGGGTCCTTGCCCTCTTAGAACTGGTGGAAAGACAGCCAAATTGTGAATAGTATAGTGAGAGCTACGCATAAGAGTGGGCCAGTGTGGAGGGCTCTGGGAGCACACGGCGGGGGTGCTGAGCCTAGAGGATCAGTAAGATGGGGGGACTTCCCTCTACAAAAGTATTCATGGGTCATATGC